TAAAGCCTTGTCAAGGAGCATGATTTATGATGCTGTCTCCAAGCAGGACATAGAATGTTAAACAAGGAGACTAGTACAATCAACTAAGCTATCAACAATGATATGGCTTGGAAAGAGGGAAGAATAGGAAAAATGAAATTTATAAAAGAAAAGAAAAAAGATTCGAGGAACAAACTGCATCAAAATAACAGAAACCAGAAGAGCAGAACATCCAGAAAAGAAAACCCTGATGCTAAAAAGCTAAAAAGTAGGTAACCCAAGATCAACAGATCCATCTGAAGAAAGAAGAGAAGAAACCATCCCAAGAAAGAAGGGAAGGATTCGTCTCAAGAAAAAGAAGAGAAGAATCCATCTTCGGATAGAAGAAAAGAGAAAGAATAAGCGATCCATCTCGAGGAGGAGAGAAGAAAGGAAGGAGGGAAACATCGCCAACAGACATCATCCGTCTCAACAAAGAAGAAAAGAATCCATCTCAAGAAAGAAGAAACGGTCCATCCGAAGCTCACAAAAGATATTGTATGCACTACCACAAGAACGATTCCTTCATGAGATAATACAAGTCCGTGATTGCCAGAAATCTCCCGTGCCCAATAACATCACCCAATAACATCACGAGTGGATCTGTGTCAACAATATATAAAAAAACAACGCAGATTACCAAAGTGAAAGAACAAAAGCCTCCTTAGCATTCTCCTCGTGTCAGGTAATGGAAAGTAATGACATTTACCTGCATAATGCATAGGCAACAAATTTCGGGGAAATTGAGATTGAACCAATGAAATCAGGGAGTACAAATGACAAGTTACCAAAACTAAAGAAATCCATTCAAAACACTAAGCCAGAATAATTAAGATCATACTCTCATGAAACCACTAAAAACAGCAGCACATGGAGCAGTGGCACAGCGATCAAGCCACACATACCTCGGGTCCAGACACAGCGAGCACTCGGATTCACCATGACAACTCCGACACACATCGAAGCTCTGGACCAACTTCAGGATGCAATTCGGCCATGACAAGGAAATTCACATTTCTAGCTCTTACATTAGGGAATGTTTTTTAGTTATAACAGCAGTACAGTACAGATATCAAACCAACTCAAACGGATGCAGTACATATATATATATATATATATATAAAAGAAGAGATGTTCACAGTTGATACAATGATGTATAGATGACTGTGGATTTATTTCTATTATCTGATGACCAGCTATCCATCTTCAGTCTATCAAAAACATATTAAGTTTGCAAGCAAAAGAGAGCAACAATACAATAAGGAACCTGCATTAACTATTTCGTCACTATCAATTCTAGCATATCACTGATCTAATGACTTGGATATAATAGGCCTAGAACCATGACATAAAATGCTTATCGCAAGTTAAATCCAATCCATGGAGTTCAAATAAACTTCACAATCATTTCACTCAAATGTCCCACTGAAATTGATCGAAAATCAAGCTTTCAACTCCTCCATCGGCAACAAAAGAAGGCTATTAAACTTTGTTTTTCTTTCCTTCTACTAATTTGATAATCCACATTCATATGTCCAACCCCCAGTCGGCTAGGTCACCGCCTCCATCCTGTTCATTTGCCATAAAAGCAGACAAGCTACAAGAATAAAGAGAGAAATAGCTGATCTCGAATATTTCATGGTATTTATATTTAGAAGGATGTATGATTGAGTTGACCATCTTTTGGTTCTCATCACAGGTATAACAACCAACTAGGTTTAACAACATAATAAACTAAGCAGGTCAAACCAACCCCAAACAACTATGTGCAAAGCGGAAGGGGTTATCCAGTATCTGGCAGAAAACAGTGAGAAGAAATAGTCTATAATGCACACAGATGATCTAACTAAGCTATGCATAAGGTCAACATGTCAATGTTCAGCAAACGAGATCAAGCAGGTGGTACTGATGGTACTAATAACAATTACACTTACATTCAGCAACCTAAATAAAGCAAGTGGTACTGATCCCACTTATAGGTCATCATTCAACAGCCTGATAAAGCAGGGCCGATCGCTGATGCCTAACCTAAAAGATGTTAGAACCATGTTCTGATAAGCAGCCCCGTTTAGCATCCTGTTCACCTTCTTCAGGAGGCCATCCATGCCTCCAACTAAATTTTCCCTTGCAGCAGGCTTCATCCCATCAGATGCCCCTGTCTCTTTCACTGACGTAGTAGTCAGAGTAGATATCATCCTCTCAAGACTCTCCCTTATGTAAGGAAGAGGAGGTATTGGATGAGGAGAGCATGCAATTGGAGGTAGATAGTGGAGATGGTAGTTTGCAAATGGTGGCCCAAAGACACCAGTTTTCTGCATCAGTGCTTTTGGCAAACAAGAAACGAACACAGCTGGTCTCTTTTAGCAACTCCGTCTCTGATTCTATCACAACTCCATACTTGGGAAAAGTAGAAATTAGTTCGCTTTGGGAGGGAAAAGGAACTCTCCTGGGGCAAAAGTCAAGAGAAGAGCTCCAGGGTAACTGTAACAAGTTTCACATCTTTCCTTGTGTGCTTAGGTTTGAGCCATTTTGAGAACACCCAGAAAGATTATGGCCAGGTTCCACAGCCTGTTGCCCATTAGTGCCTCCGTTGCCCATTAGTGCCTCCCTTACCCTTCTTATTCATCTTGTTTCCAACTTCAGCTGGTTGCATACAATAAACAGGCTCAGGGCACAGAACTACACTGTCTCCAGTAGCTACAACTTTGCTCTTTATGTTTTTCTTTCCACTGGAATGTTTATGACCCGAGGATCCAAATCTGCTGGTGTTACATTGTTATCTACATTATTTCTCATCTTCCTCTTCCGCCCAGCCTTGCCTTGTTCAGAACAACTTCTTGAATCAGGGGTTAGGCCTGTCTCTACTTGCAAATCAGCAGCATCTTTCTTATCCTTCCATCCCCCCTCAGATTTTTCCCAGTTCAGAGCTCTTATTGACAATCAGCTTGTTTGGAGATTCTATACTCACCTGACAGCATTCATTATGGTGCTTCTGGTAGGTTAGGAAGTCAGATCCACTTGAGTACATTGAGCTTCTGTATTTAATGAAGAAGCTCTTAATCATCTTTGCCGATCGGTTCCACTTTAAATGAAGTGGATTTCTTGCCGTGCAAAGTAATTCTAAAAGAATGTCATTGACAGATGTGCTCTCAATTCCAAAACCAGGATTACTAGTATCCTCTTCCTTCTCAACGGCCTCCGAGTCGCACCTCAATAAGGATGAGATATCAGAATTTAGAGCCCGTGATGCTTCAGCAGCCTTCCTAGGCGGCTTCACCTCACCACTCGGTGAGTCAAGAGA